CCATTCCCTGTTGTCTCACTCTACTCCAGGCCTGGAGGTATCTGTTCCCTGTTGGAACTCTGTCTAATCCAAGAGCCCCTCTAGACTGCCCTCTTGGTTAGGTTCTGATTTTGTTCTGTTCTCATCAATTTTACCACTAAGTATACTCCCTTTAGGGCATTGCCTCCATGGCTCTCCAGACACTTACCTTTTTTGACAAGTGCTATATTCTCAGTGATGAGTTTCCTGCTTCATTAGAAGGCACAGGAAAACACAAAAAGTGTGTTTCCACTATAATCCTACCCCTACACATCACATATACAATATATGATTTTTCTTAAAGAAATAAAAGTGCAATTTCTAGAAGAAACACAGGGGATACCCTTCAAGAGTTTGGGTTACCTACAGACTTTTAAATTAGAACAGCAAAAGCGTAGGAGCTAACTAAGTATCAACAGATGGGACCATATGAGAAGAAAGAGTTTCTGTACAGCAGAAAAAGAAAACAACAGCAGAGCAAGCAGGCAGTCTATAGAACATGAGAAAAACTTTACAATCTACACTTAAGCAAGGGACTTAATTTACAAGGGACTGGAATTTACAAAGAACTGCAGAAATTAAACACCAAGGAAATAAAACTGCCAATCAAAAAAGGCAGATGATCTGAATAGACACTTATCAAAAAGAAGCAGAAATGGCCAATAAGTCTTTAAAAAAGTGTTCAATATCCCTAGCCATTGGGGGAATACAAATTAGAACTACTTTGAAATACAACTTTACCCGAGTCAGAATGGCTATCATCAATACATTTAATAACATACAGAGAGAAAGAAACCCTTATTCACTGTTGGTGGGGAGTAAATACAACCATTGTGGGAATCAGTTTTGAGATTTCTCAAAACTTAAAAATAGAAGTACCATATGGCCCATTTTTTCTTACTCCTGGGCATATATCCAGAGAACTCTATATACTACCATTGAGATGCTTACATGTTTATTGGTTCATTATTCACTATAGCAAAGAACTAGAATCAACATAGTTGTCCATCAACACATGAATGGATAGTGAAAATTTAGTACATGTGACTGGAGAGATAGCTCATCAGTTAAGAGCCTTGTTCTTGTGGAGGACCTTGGTTCAACGCCAAGAACCCACATGGAGGCTCACAACTCCGGCTTCAGGGCATCCCATGCTCTCTTCTGACTTCCATGGGTACCAGGCACTCAAATAGGGCACAGACATATCTGTGAGCAAAAACACTCATACACATAAAATGAAATAAATCTTAAAAAAGAAAATTTGGTGCATATATGTGCATTCACACACACACACAAACTACTCATCTCTAAAGAAAAATAAAAGCACAAAATGTTCAGGAAAATGGATGAACCGAGAATGTACAGTATTAAGCAAAGTCACACAATCTCAGAAAGGAAAGAAGCATGTTCTCCCTCATATGCAGAATCTAGCCAACAAGATATGTGTATATATAAACATATGTAAATGTGGGCACAGTATAGTATTTCAAAAAGAGAAAAAGGCTAGACATTAGGGGATGAAGAGAGACTGAATGCAGGCAATGAATATGAGTGATGAAGTAGGATAAAAAGCTAATCATTTTTTCTGTCATGGATTTTTCAATTTTGGTGGTAGAGAAGTACATAAAATATATTAGGTATGGAAAATATAAAAACACAGTATGAAGCTCTTTCAGTATGAAGATTCCCTTTGAAATGTCTACTTTAACTGTATAGAAATTCAGTGAGATATATAGTTTGGGAGTCTAGTTAATTTTGGTGTTTGATTTTTTCCCCCAATTTTTAAAATAATGATGCATAAAATAAATAGTAAAATATTTTAAAAAGAAAAAATAAATTAAAAATGAGTAGAATTGGCATTAGAGAAATAGCTCAGTAAGTAAGAAAGCTTGCTGCGTAAGCATGAGAACCTGAGTTCAAATCCCAAGAACCCACATGAAACACTGGGTGGCTGCATTTGTGCCTATAACCCCAGCACTCTGGTGGTCAGAGACAGGAGGATCACTGAGGCTTGCGGGCTTCCAGCCTGGCTCCAAATTCAGTGAGAAACCTTGTCTCAAGAGAATAAGGTGGAGAGTGACAGAGAAGAACACTTAGTATATTTTGGCCTGTACATGGGCATGGGCACAGGCATGGGCATACACCAACACACACAGAAACAGTGCTGTGGGATGTTCTATATGTTCTGAATGTGCTGCTCTGATTGGTTAATAAATAAAGTGCTGACTGGCCAGTAGCCAGGCAGGAAGTATAGGTGGGACAAAGAGAGAGGAGAATTCTGGGAGGTGGAAGGCTGAGTCAGGAGACACTGCCAGTCGCCACCACCATGAGTAGCAGGATGTAAGGTACCAGTAAGCCACAAGCCATGTGGCAACTTATAGATTAATAGAAATGGGTTAATTTAAGATATAAGAACTAGATAGCAAGAAGCCTGAGCCACACAGCCATACAGTTTATAAGTAATATGTCTCTGTATGTTTGCTTGGGTCCGAGCAGCTGCGGGACTGGCGGATGAGAGAGATTTGTCCTGACCATGGGCCAGGCAGGACCAGGAAAACATCAGCTACAAGACACATACAAACACAAGTAAAAATAATAAATAAAATGGTTAAAATAATTCTTCCAAAATTATAAAAGTGATATATACCCCACATCTAGGGAAGTAATGTAAAAATATGCAAAGTAGAAAAGTGAATGCTCCCACATACCCAGTTCTTACACATTGCTTTCCAGTGCATTACTCACTTGCAACTGTTTTGCCCTTTGAATGCTAACAGCCTGACCAATCTTTCTTTGTTTCTGTGATATTCACACACACACACACACACACACACACACACACACACACACACACCAAATACACGTATTTTCACATGGGAAGAAGTGATGATAGTTTTACAAGAAACAAGAACATATTATTTTGTCACTTGTTAGAAATCTATATTGATACTTTAGATAGTTTCATAACATTACAGAAGAAAAAATGTGTTATAATATATTGAAACATGTCTCCATTGATGGACATTCAGTTTTTTTTCTAGATGTTTTGAAAATATAAAATTGCAACAAGCCAGCAAGATGCTTAACAGGTAAAGTGTCTGCCATGCAAGCCTGATGAGCTAAAGTCAATTCCTAGAGCCCACATAAAGGTAGAAGCAGAGAACTGACACCACAAAGCAGTGCTCTGACCTCCATGCCTGCACACCACCTCCATCACACACATGTACACAAATAACAGTCATAATAATGACAATAAAAATTTAAATTGCTGCAGTAAATTACCTGTGTGCACATAGTCATACTGGCACATACATTCATTTAAGCTAAGTTCTTAAAAGTAGGGTCACTAGGTCATATCTACATATAATTTTAATCATGACCCTTTGATATCTCCTGTTAATTCAGTTATTATATTATAGATATAATAAGGTATATACAATTTCTGTATAATCTCTCTATTCTATTTACAATTACAGCTAATTTTCTATGTACTATATAATTTCTGAAGTTAGCTAAATATGTGTCTATATATCTATTAATGTTTGGGACTTTCTTAAATTTCATCAAATTACATCAAACCTCAATGTTTAAATGCAAAGAATTCATATCTAATCCACATAATATAAACACAGAGAGAAACCAAAGTTTTGACAGAAGAATTAGATGCAATATACTCTTTTACATGAGTGCCTCTCAATTTTAAATGAGCCAAAATTAATTACTTCTTTTTTGAGAACAAGAATTGGTCAAATGATTTCAAAATCCAGAAACTCTATGTTTGAGGCATGTGCTTCCATCACACCTAAGACTGACTCCAGACACACTAACTCCACAGACCAAAAATCATGTTTGCTGGACAATACAAAGAAGACTAGAGATTCTCTCAGTGTGGTGAGTCAATAGTCATGTGATACTTGTGTCATAAAAGGGTTCATTTTTAGATCAAGATAAATGAAAACAGAAAAAGGAAAAAGGATTCCAATTCTAAGCCCCCAAAACACTGTTATGTAGGTTAGCACATCTAACAATCTCTCAAAGTTAATTTAAGGAAATAACATTTCTCAAAGGCTTGGAAACATTCAGTCACTTCTATCACCAAAGTAAAGTCCTATAAACCAGTATAAAGTGGTTAGTAGAGGGATCTATGAGAAGAAAACTCTGGACACTTTTCATATTTAGTATATACTCTGCTTAATCATATTGTTGACATGTAAGAAACTCCTGTGTACAGGGCATGGGATGAAGAGTTAGAAAATTTATAAAGCCAACAGGAGATGACTCAATGGCCTTTGTGATACCTAATCTTATGCCCTGCATGGCTGGAAATGGCACTGAATTTAACTGCTAGGTCTTGTAACATGTGGATTTCACTTTCTACACAGAATTGACTACTTGCCTATAACTCTAGAGTCTTCCAACTAGAAACAGGTCTTTCGATCGAAAAGAAATGAAAACAGAAAACCTGAAATAATCCAAACACTGAACCCCGAGGAGTTAATCTCTTACCTGAGTAATTAACAAAGACTTTCAATTATCTTGCTCTCATCACTTCAGTGAAAAAAAACCTAGTTGTTATTTCCAGAGGAAATCCATGTCCACAGACCATAAACTCAATCTAGTTAATAGCTAACTTGGGGAAAAGGTGGGAGTTGGAGTCAGATGAAGAACCACTGTAGGGTGATGGTAAATGAGTTACCTCCAGACAGCCAGCTGCTACTGTCTGAGACCTCTACTGAGACTGAGTGAGAGGAGATGTGAAAAGCAAGACATAAGCAGCCAGAAAGATAAAATTCTCCCTAGCTGAACTCACTGCAGGAGTAACTAAAAAATGACAAGGACTCTGGCTAAAGAAGGAAAGCAAAGAGAAGAAAAGGTATGAAAAGATATAGATCAAAGGTGCTAGCTAGAATTCTTCCTCCTCCATGCTTCTCAAGAAGCCAGTAAGACAGGGTTTGATGTCTTGGGACAAAGTCTAAGAGATTCTATCTAAGACAGAAACCAAGGTCGCTCCCACTCCTACTCTCCTCCCACTTTCCAAGCCCTTATATAAGATTAGATGCACAGGAGATCTCTATAAAAAATCCTGTGATTTTTATAATTGGTTACTAAAAGTACTACTTGAGATCTCAGTGGAAGGCTGGGCCAAAGTAAAAACAGTGCTCATGAACAACTACAAGAAGATACCACATGGAAAACAGAACTTGTCCCTCAGTGGGTTCACAGTCAACAGAAACTGAATGTCTTCTTATGTGTTTACAAACAACTAAGTTTAATTCAGACAGGATGTAGCTTTTATAACATAAGAAAACTGCAATAAATGACAAGACAACCCTAAACTAAGGGACAAAAGTCTTGCAAAATACCAAATATGTTTAATGTAGAGATTCTGGATGAGGAGTACATAGAACCCTAGAATCTGATGCAATTTCTAAATCTTAGTTTATTTTCCTGTTGCTGTGATCAGACACCCTGACGAAAGCAACTTAAGGGAGAAAGGTTCATTTTGGCTCAGAGTTCATTATGGCAGGCAAGCCAAAGCAGCCGGAACTTGAAGCAGTTGGTTGTACTGCATCTACAACCATGAGCAGAGAGAAATGAATGAATATATGCTGGTGCTCAGATCATTTTATCCATTTTATATCATCCAATATTCCCTGCCAAGGGAATGTTTCCAACTGCAGTTAAGATAGACCTTCCTACACCAATAAACATAATCAAGATACTATCCACAGGCATGCCCAAAGGCCCATCTCTAGGTGACTGTAGACTGTCAAGTTGACATCAACACTATTCACAACAGGACCTCCAGAGTTAAGGCAACAATTCTGCACTCTGCTTCCTCCTCTAACTCCACTGAGATGGCTTGTCAAGGGATTCCAAGTTGCCAGCATCCATGCTGAGAAAGTATTTTCATTATTAGGGTTTTGCTGTGCATGATATGAATTTTAGAATTCTATGACTTTCCTACTGGGACAGAAAGTGGCAAGTTTTACCAAACTAAGACCGACATATTAAATAAACGAGATGGAAAAAGTATTGACCACATTGAAACACCTCCCTGCATCGGGGATGTAGAGAAATTTATGAACTGTCACAAACTCAAGAGGAACTGAAAGCTTCTGGCAAAGCTTCTTTGCTAAATCAATATTTTTGTCTCAAAATTTCACATGAGTTCTCTATAAATAAAATTCCAGTACCCTCTAAGAGATCATATATCATATTACAAGTTATTTTCTAACCTAAGACGCTGACCATATGCTGCTGAGGAACTGATCACCTTCACAAGAGCATACAAAACCCTGAATGTCTGAGTACACTGGCTTGGAAAATGCCAAGGATACAGGATTGGTATTCATGACTGAACACTCAAAATTATTTTTCATGTAAAAATTTAAATGACATCAAGCATACTAGTCAGAGGAGCTCATTAGTACCTTTATGCATGAAAAATGGCATTGTTACTCTAGTCACAGTAGTAACCTATCAATAAAACATACTTAACATTCAACAACTGCACTGTGCTTGTTTGAGTGACTCCATAGAAAAGAGAATGAAAGAAAACCTGACCAAGCTCCTTCTTCAAAAAGAAAAAAAAAGAAAGAAAGAAAGAAAGAAAATTGTGTCTTCTTTTCAGAGCTAAGGTTTCACAAAAAAAAAAAAAAAAAAAGAAAAAAAAAGAAAAGAAAATTGTGTCTTCTTTTCAGAGCTAAGGTTTCACTGTCAAGTCCAGCTGGCCTTAAAGTTTCCCTGTAGCCCAGGCTGGCCTTAAATTCTCTCTGTAGCCAGGGCCAGCCTTAAACTGGTGATCCCTTTACCCCAGCCTTCCAACTGCTAGAATATAGGCATGGACCGGCACAATTTGCACCCAAATATCTTCATATTAGAATGAGTGCTTCCTTTCTGGTAACAAAAGTATTTTTGTCATAAATCATGGCACTTACAAAAATACAGAAAACAGAACAAAACCTAAGTAGCTACTGACATGTGAATACAAACAGCATGCTTTTGTCCTTTTGCTTAGAGACTCCCTAGAATGACATCAATAGTATCACCAGTAGAATTTAGGTCAATGGGCCAATTACTCAATGCTGACATCAAAGGCAGAGACAAGCTGCTGCTTCTCTGCCTGTTTCTTTTTGAGTCTCAGTGTTAAGCAATCCCGGAAGCAACTTTATGTGCCACAAATAAATAAATAAATAAATAAATAAATAATAAACACACAAGCAAATCTCAAAAGCTCATACGAAGTATTGCTTCTAGAAAAAAAATCGCACTTTTAGTTCTTTGGGTCAACAGCATCATTACCATCCCCACACCCCCGACACAAATCTCAGTTTTCTTGTTACCAAGTGAATGAACAGCCCTAGGAATATTAGTCCATTGTTAATTAGCTAGTATCTTAACAGCAGAAGCCGACCAATTGAATTTGAATCTCCCAAACACAGATGGAAACAGCTTAAACAGAGGCTAACCTGGTGGTGGCTGGTGCTGGGGTAGAGCTGTGATCTTCTCTGGCCTCAAGCTTTTTTCTGAAGGTTCCTCAGATACCAGCCAAGTTTGGCTTGCTCTGAGGGAAGTCGGGCTGCCTCCTTTGGTCTCCGTGACCTTCGTAGAAGATGATGGCTCCAAGGTGACAGCAGAGGTGAACCCAGAGGAGAGACCGTTCTTCCTACCAGGGCACTCATTAAAAGCAGCTTCCCCTTCACTAGGCAGTGGAGGGAGCAGGAGGATCCTGTGGTGTCGCTGAGGGCTGGGGCACCTTGGAGACAGAGGCGAGGGAACAGGTGACAGCCGTTTGTGTGCGCTGGACTGAGGCGATGAATTATTAAATACCATGCCGCGAGCTGTTGGTGTTTGGGGGGTTGGCTTCCTCTCATCACATTTGGGTTGTGGGGAGTCAGGACCTACAGTGTGGGGCAGATCCAGAAGCAAGAATTTATGGCCACTCTTGGGTAGCCCAGCCTTCCTTTGGCTTCTAGTTTCTGGGAGAGTGTGGGCGGCCCTTGTGTTGAGGGAGAAGCCTAGTCTTTTCCCCTCGGTGGCTTCATCTAACTTCTCACTCTCTATCACCTTCCGGAGAACCTTGTTCACAGCCCCCTCGGTGCTGGCTGGTTCACTGGGAATGGAGGCTCTTTCTGTGGCTGAGGGTTGCGATGACTTGACCCCTTGCTGCTCCTCCCCTAGGCTCCTGGAACTTTGAGTCTCATCGTTAGCTCCTGAGAGGATGAGCAAGTCAGCTTTTGGGATGAACTCAGTATGGGTCTCTGAGCAAAAGGCAACCCTTTCCTCACCATCGGGATGAGCCCTAACTACCCTTTGAACTTGAGCAGAAAGCTCCTGGACCTTGGCCACCACTGTGGAAACAGGTTTCTTCCTGCAAGTCCTTTCCAATGACTTTGACTTCCGAGTCCCGCCCCGCTCTGCCCCTGGATGTTTCTCATGACTTTCGGACAAACTTGGAGGTTCCTGCTCCTGAGGACTCTTGGGCTGCCTTCCTATGCCAGCATCTCCTACCTCGGTGGGGCTGCTGTCAGGAGACAGAGGTCCTTCAAGATCAGTGTCCTCTGAGGTCCTCCCAGAGCTCCGGAAGCCCAGGTCTGCATCTGGTGTCCTGAGAATGTCGGCAGGGCAGCTCTCTCTCCTCCTCCGTGGGGAAGAGGTAAGTGTTCCCTGGGGAACTAAGTTTCCTCTTTCTTCTAGGAGCTGAAGATTAGGCCTAACCCGGGAAGGAGGAAGGGAGCTACTGGAACAGACCTGGTCCTTCCCCATCTGAGGAGCTGATTCCTGGCGGCCACGCCCTTTCCTCCTGGTTCTCTTCAGCCGGAGCTCCTCAGGGCTCTCTCTCCTCCTGCCAGACCTCCGGGGCTTTTTGCTCCCTTGGGTGCTCCTCCTAATGAGGGAGTTCACAGCGAGCTCTCTGCTCCAATTGCCAGCACTCTGGAAGCAGTCTTCCTCAGGCACAAGGCTCACTGGCAGCTCCTGCAACCTCCCTTCCTGGTTCCCCATTGAAATTCCCAGGATGTGGTCTGACCTCAGCAGACTGTCCAGCAGCTTCTCCCTCTCTGCTGTGAGCTTGTATAGCTCTGTCAGAATGTCTTTTGTGGGAGTCTGTTTGAAAAATATGTCGCCGGGATGTTCGTTTGGCTGCTGGCTGAGGCTGGTGATGTCTGGCCCCTCCCTGACTTGGTAGCAGTTATGAAAAGCGTTATTGGATCTGTCTAGAGTTACAGTGCCCTTGTATGAAAATCCTCTGACTTCCCCCTTTGGAAGATAGAAGCTGATATAGCAGAGTTCAGTGATGGGGTTATGCAACTGGAGGGTGCAGTGAGTGCCTTCCATTATGCCTACCTAATTATTCATGCTGTGGAGATGCTGGTCTGTGGTCAGCTCCAGGGGCGAGGCATGTGATGGTGGCTAGACAGAGCAGGCAGCTGACAGTCCTCTCCGGCAATGAGGCTGCCTGTTAGAGAAACACAGGAAGAAAGCAGCTTGTCTAACAGAGTGTACACATCAAAGGGCAATATCAATCACAACATAACCACACTGATCCTTTCTAGCCAGGAGCCTGATGGCAGCTTAAGCTTCTACCCACCTTGACCAGGAGGCTTTTCTATAGCTAAGTGATGGGAAGAGCTCTCACTTTAGTCACAGGACAACAGGTCCCTTTTCTTCACTTGGGAATACACTGTATAGCCTACAGCCAGTCTGTCTACTTTTTTCAGACCACAATATTCTGTAGAATAGCTGTGAACCTTCCAGGAATTCTGGGAGAATAGGACTTTGAGAACCTTAGAAACAATCATTGTTTTAATGACTCATGTTTGGAATGCTATTTTCAAAGATGAGAAGCTTTTGTTATCATAAAAAACATTCTAAGGTTCTCTTACATTGAAGCACAGTGTGAGGTCGAAGTATCAGAGCAGAATCTGATGAGAGATGAAGTTTCAGGCCTGCTTGACCTCCTGGCAGTGTTCTATTGAAAAGCTTTGTACAAAATATATGATGTTTTAGATTTAAATGTTTAAAATTAAGTAATTGTAGAGGCTTAATCAAGTTTGGATTTGTTTTGAGATAGGTCTTGCCACGTAGCCTTGGCTGGCCTGAATGTGCTATGTAGACTAGGCTGAACTTGAACTTGTGATGATCCTTCTCCCTCTGTCAGCCAAATGCTGAGATCAGATGTGTGCACTGCCATGCCCAGCTTGATTTTTATTTAATAATGTTTTCCCTTTCTACCTGTTGACTATTTGAAGACAAGTGTACTGTGGGATGGTCTGTATGTCAAATTGCTCTCATTGGTCAATAAATAAAACACTGATTGGCCAGTGGCTGGGCAGGAAGTATAGGCAGGACTAACAGAGAGGAGAAAAGAAAGAACAGAAAGGTGGAGGGAGAAACTGCCAGCTGCCGCCATGACAAGAAGCATGTGAAGACGCCGGTAAGCCACGAGCCATGTGGCAAGGTATAGATTTATGGAAATGGATTAATTTAAGATATAGAAACAGTTAGCAAGAAGTCTGCCATCCACGGCCATACCGTTTGTAAGCAATATAAGTCTCTGTGTTTACTTGTTCCGGTCTGAGTGGCTGTGGGACTGGTGGGTGATAGAGATTTGTCCTGACTATGGGACAGGCCGGAAAACTCTAGTTACACAAGTGGAATAGCAAAGAAAAATACTGCTGGTCCTTAGGGATTTTTAATGACTTGATCATAAAAGTGATTAGAAGTGCCATGGGAGTAGTGAAGGTGGCCTCTGCTTTATGTGATTTGGTGAGGGAAGTCCTCAAAATTGTCTTCATGACTAATACCTCCACATACAATTATGAAGCTTACAATGCTATACTATAACACTTCATTTCTGAAGTTAATATACCACCCAGTCTTCAAGTTGCCCTCACTTAAAGGACACTCCCCAGGAATTAAAAAAAAAATAACAATCATTTAACCACTGATGTAGTTTGTAAATTACTTTCCCCAAGTGTTTTATTTTTTTCTTAACTGGTTTTAAACTAGAAAAAAAGTTATATAAAGGTATATTTTGCGTTCTGAAAAGAGGAAGAATTTGTAATGCAAACTCCTTAAGGAAAACATATGGAGCCAAGTGATGACATGAAATGGCAGATGTATGTGAGTGGGTGGGTTGTGGGGTCACCTGGTCAAGAAAGAAAGTGTTAGGAGGATTCAGAGTTTAAATAATTTCAAATAAAAATATGTCTGCTTGTTTGAAAAGCCTATTTTCTAAGAGACAGGACTTTTATAGGTAGAGTACATATTCACATATACTGTCATTTTCTTCTTCCCTTAATCAAAGGGTCATCAAGGTACAAGGAGAAGATGCCCAGAAGAGATAAGAAGTCATCACAGGCCTTGCATTTTTCATAATCATCCTATCTTTAAAATATTTCTAAAATGCTTGCTGTTGTTACATCCTAAGCATGTATGTGTATACTGATACGTGATGCACAAACTCTGAACATATGCAAGAACCCATTTGAGAGGTAACATTTTAGTCTGTGATTTACAACAATTACAAAGAGTGATGGGTGTCTGCTATGCACGATCAAGAGTTCCATTTATGAATAATGAGACAAGCTGAAGGGAGTACCAAAGGGCTGTTGTGAATTATGGAAAGATAACTTCCTTTCCTTTGCTTTCAAGTATCCTTCTCTGGTTCAACTTAACTTATTGACTTCCCTGGAAGATGGGAAGTGTCTGATGTAGGGAGAGAAGCACACTGTAGATTTTTCAGAATCTCTTCCAAATAGCAGTTCACAGTTCATGCCATAATGTCAAGTAGGACTAAGCTGCCTATTACCTCTTCCCAAGGAAGAGTTATATACACTTATGCTTTGAATTTGTCATCTCACTTAATTAGCATGGCACCATTTTACAGATGAAAAAACTGAAGGTCAGAGACATAAGGAACTTGTCTATGAGGGTTCCCCTAAAAAGAAACAAGTTTCAAAGCCAGGTCTGTCTCCTAACATCGATTTGTGGGTAAATTTGCTTTCCCACTATTGCTTCTACTGATGAACAGAGACCCCCTTAGTTATGTTAGTGTAATATAACACAATTTCTTCATCAATGCCCCATATCTTCTAATATTCACGGAACACAGTCAGGATGTCTGACTAGATAAAGTACTCCTTTTTAAAAGAAAGGCGAGAAAAAGGGCAACAAATTCATTGAGTTGAAAAGTAAAAACTGCCTTTGACTATAAAGGGGAAAGCAATGAAAATTCTGATTTAGAAATTAAAGATGGTATCAGACCACCATGCCTTAAAGTTAGACCTCAACAACAACAAAAATTATAGAAAACCCACAAACTCATGGAAACTGAATAATGCCCACCTGAAACA